ACAACTTCCAATCCATCTGCCCACGCGACTACTCAGCCACAAAATTACCCACACCACTTAGAATCTGCAAACTTTGTCACTAGCCTAAGGCTAGGGAACCTCTTTTTTCTGATGTTTTATATGTAAAAAAATGTCACTACCACTGATCATAGTGGCATAGGCTTGTTTTATTTTGTTCTGTTGACACAAGGTCTCTACATAGCCCAGGCTGGTCTCAAACTACAAATAATTCTCCTGCCTTTCTTGAGTTCTAGGATTATGGACATGTGCCAACCTGCTTGGTGTGCAAGTCTGTAATCCCAACTACTGAGAAGGCTGAGGCAAGAGGACAGCAAATTCAAGACCAGTCTGGGCAATTTTTTTTTCAGTCTAGGAAATTTATGTGAGATTCTATCTCAAAATTAAAAAGGGAAGGCCAGGGATTTAGCTCAGTGGCATAAGCGCTTGCCTGGCAAGCACGAGGTCATGAGTTCAATCCCTGGTACAAAAAAAAATAAAAATAAAAAAATAAAAATAAAAAGGGCTGGAAATGTAGTTCAATGGTAGAGTACTTTCCTAGCATGTGTGAGACCCTAAATTCAATCCCCAGTACTGAATATATATATACCTGGAACCTTAAATTCACAAGCACAGAATTCTACCCTACTGATATAGAATTACTCATTCTATTGATTAATAATTACTGGTATCTATAGTAAATAGTGCTTGAGGAAAGATAATGTTAAGAGAAAGGGTTGAAACCAGGCATAGTGGCACACACCTGAAATCCCAGCACTTGGGAGATTGAGGCAGGAGGATGGCTGTGAGTTTAACACTCAAGATACATAAGCAAGTTCAAGGCCAACCTGAACTACATAGGGAGACCCTGTCTCAAAAAAGAAAGCGCAAGAAAGACAGAAAGAGATGTATGTGACTTGAGGTGGGGAGCTTGTCAGTGTGTTCAGCCCCTAGGGTAGGGCCACTAGGGGACAGAGGCAAATGCCATCCCACAGCTTAATTTCTCACAATCCATTTATGTCCTAAATTTACTCATCAGTCTCTTCCAAGTTTGGTGAGTGAGTCAATGTCCTTGGACTCAACCAGTCAAGTGCCATACAAAACTGTAATTCTGGTGTAGGAAGGCACCAGAGGCAGATCCCAAAGCAGACATGGTGGAGTATATCTGATGTATCTAGCACTTGCTGGTGCCTCCCATCTCCACCGTTTACAAAGTCCCCAGACAACAGGGCCTCTCACAGCTCCACAAGTTTTCAAATTGATGGCTCTCTCTACTTACTTTGCTCAGTCTTATCTGCCTGAGCCAGGCGTGGTGGCTCATGCCTGTAATCCCTGCATTTGGGAGGCTGATGCAGAATTGCTGCAAGTTCGAGGCCAGCCTGGGCTACACAGCAAGACCCTGTCTCAAAAAAAGAATCTTATCTGCCTGCAAAACTATTCTTCCAAAACCCAGGTCAGGTCATCTAACTCCAGGAAGCCTTCCTAACTTCCCCCATGGATTTAGTTCTTACCGTTCCCAACAACTCTTTAACCACAGCTATAATACAGGACTTAAGTAGATACTGTAGCTCATCTTTTAAATTATTTGACCCCCTCCTGGGTACTGAGCTCTTGGAAAGAAGGAACTCATCCTGTATCCACAAGTTCTAGCACAGTGTCAAAGCACCAAAGGGGAGGTCAATGTTGAAAGACTGATCATGTGGAACACAGTAGGTAAATTATTAAGAAAAAAAAAGGAAGGCAACAAAACAAAATTCAAGAACTTAATTATCAGGGCCAGGGATTTAGCTCAGCACAGCAAAGTGCCTGCCTGGCAAGCACAAGGTCCTGAGTTCAATTCCTGCTACTCTTTTTTTAAAAAAACTGAATTATCTATATAGTCAATCTCACAAAACGATCCAAATATAGCTGAGAGGCAATATGGCTATTTTTAAAACTGAAACAACAGCAACTAACCTTTGAACAAAGTATTAAACTGTTTATATGCTTAATTTGATCTGCTCAACAACCGTATAAGGTACTTTTTTTCTTTTAATTTTTTTGGATTTGTTTATATTGACTGGGATTTAGGGGATGTGATGGGAAATGTTGCCTTGGAGCACAACCCACTCCTGCACGTTTATACACATTTAAATTGAGGAAGTCCAGAGTGGTGATCCCAGCACTCTGGGAAGGCTGAGGTAGAAGGGTAGCAAATTCAAGCCCAGCTTAGGCAATTTAGCAAGATCCTGTCTCAAAATTTGAACAGGGCATGTATGTAGCTCACTGAGAAGGCCGTGGGTTAACCCCCAGTATCAGTTAAAAAAAAAAAAAAAAAAGATGAGGAAACTGAGGCTCAAGAGAGGTTAAACAACTGCAATGAGTAGCAGAAGCAAGTGTAAATTTCAACAGCCTGACTCCAGGGCAGAGCTGGTGCCAATTCAGGTTATGTCATGAATGTGACTCTGGACTGGTCTGTTGTAAAATGGGTACAATGACCCCTTTACCTTAAGTGTGCAGAGGATTGAGATAAATATGACAGTGTATATAAAAATCAGTGAAATCCTCCTCCCGCCTAGTAGACACTCCCAAAGTGCTGGGTCATTTTCCCTTTCCCTCCTACAGACCCCAAGCCCAAGGATCAATCAACCTGCTTGAGGCTTTTCCAAACAGATCAAGCAGTTAGGCCACTTGGCTCAGAAACCCTTGCCTCACTTCTTATCTCACAGCACATTCCCTGCATATGGGCGGGAGACCTTTTAAAATGTAAAAGTTCCTAATTACAGTGGAGTTCCAATCCAAACTAAACAGAGAAAGCTTTCCCCCAGGCCAAGGCGCCCAGGTCTAACCCGGCCCTCCTGGGCGGTTACCTCCCCTCTCCCCTTGGCCCTCTCGTCCTGCAGCCCACGGGGCCTCTTTCACTTCCTCCAGCCGGTTGGCCTGTGCAGCTGCACACGCGGCTGACTCTCCACCCGCCTGCAGGCCAGGACCTCGGCAGCACTTCCTCAGGGAAGGCTTCCCGTGCCCCCGACTCAAATCAATCTTTCCTTCCTCCTACTTGCCACAGTTTGAAATTATTAGTTTACCACTTCCTTAAAGTTTTATCCCAAAGACACCATCTGGGGGGAAAGGTAGAGCTCAATGGTACAGCACTTGCCTACCATATGCCAGATGTAAAAAAAAAGACATTTTTAGGGACCCTTCCCAGGCTACCTTAATGTAAATTCAACCCCTATTACTGATAGCTCAGATGCTGTGTTTTCCTTTTGCCTTTTAGTACTAAACACTTAAATATTTTAATTACATATTTTATTTACTGTTTTCACACATACATGGTAGAATGAAAACTCAACAATGGCAGTGTTTTGTTTGATTTTGTTTGCTGTACTGAGGATTGAACTTGGGAAGTCAAGAATGCCAGGCAAGTGCTAAACCAACTGAGGTAAATTCCCAGCACCTACCCTACCTTCTTTGTTTTGTACATTATACTTTTTTCAGGCAGGATCTGGCTAACTTGCCCAGATTGATCTCCAACTGGAGATCCTCCTGCCTCAGTCTCCTGCATGCTGTAACTACAGGCATGTTACCACCAGGCCCAGTCTAAACTGTTATTTTTGCTTGCTTTGTTCACTGAATCTAAAACGAATGCTTGGAGTATATTTGTTGTTCAATAATTTTATTAGTGGATTTTCCCACACAGCTAAGAACACCAACACTAAAATGTCTTTCTAGTTTGCCACTTTACCCCTCAACACTCAACTCAGTCATGGGCATATATAGTAAGTGCTCAGTAAAAGTTTACAGTTGGGCACAGTGGCAACAGCTGTAGTCCCAGTTACTCAGGAGGCTGAAGTGGAAGGATTACTTGAGACCAGAAGTTGGAGGGCAGCCTGGGCATCATATCTAAACCTAGCATCACCCCCCTCCCACCCCCAAAGAAGAAAGGCCACAACTAGTGGAAAAACTGGAAAGCAATTGAAGTGCACTATGAACACATTTCCTCCTCTCACTCACTGCCTAATATACCTGAGGGGTTTAGGAAAGAGATCTCTGAAATCCCTCTAAACACCCCTAAAGTTAGGCATCCACCTGTCCCAACATGTGCGCCCCACCACAGTGTGCACACCTGAGTCCAGCACCACAGAGACCCCATCGGCCCCAAATGGACAAATCTCAAGCCAAATATCTGTTACCCCCAGTCCCAAGTGCACGCTGCCTGTCCAGTTAGGCCAGCCCTGGACCGAACATGCTTCTCTGGGTGGGCCGGTGGGTTCACTCTCACCCAGTACTTCTGATGCCACCCCTGGCCTACTCCCAGAAATTTAAAGAAGGAAAAAAAAAAAAAAAACAGTTTAAAATCCCCAACAACTCCAACAGCCCTGCAGTTCTCCGGAGCAGGGGAACCTAAGGTCATGGGGACCCCTCCCCCTCGTACACGCCTATCCAGGCCAGGAGGCCATCTGTCCCGAAGACGCCGACGGGTCCTCCCCCGGGTCACACTGCTCCCCTTCCCGGGCGGCAAGAAGAGTGTCCCACAGAGACAGAGCCCACCCCACGCGCGGGCCTGGCTGTGCCAGCCCTAAATCCCGACTCGGGCGCGGGATACCTGTCTGCGAAGGACCCTGTCGCGGGGCCAAGGCTGGGCCGGGGTCAGGAGACTGGGGGCGCCGCGGAGGGGCGAGCCCGAGTGTCTGCCCGGGACGGCGCCGGCACGCTAGGACGCGGGGTGACAGGGCGTCCGGCGGGGCGCAGCCGCACCGTTATCCGGGCCGGGCGGGGGGCGCGGGCGGCGGCGGGAGGGGCACGCTGAGGTCGGAGGAAGGCCGGGACGGGAGGACCCGGGTGGGGGCCGGGGTGGCGGGGCCGGGCCCGCCAGGCGGCGGCCGGGAAGTGCTGGCGCCTCGCGGGGTCGCGGACTGCGGGGCTGACGGCGGCGCGCGCCCGGTCCAGGCTCTGTGCGGCCGGGTCCGCTCGGCGCTCGGCCCCGCGGGTCCCTCCGGCGCGGGCGGCTGTGGGACGCTTACCTGGCGGCGACGGCGGCGGCGGCGACGGCGGCGGCGACGGCAGCAAAGAGCTGGCTCGGCCGCGCGCGTCCCCAGCGCCGGCGGCGGGAGCCCCAACATGGCGACGGCGGCGGCGGGCGGGGCGGGCCGGGGGCGGGGACGGGGCAGGCCGGCCAGGGCGTGGGCGGTGAGGACGGCCGGGGGTGGGGACCGGGACGGGGACGGGGACGGGGACGGGGCCGCGGACGGGGCCGCGGACGGGGAGGGGGAGACGGAGACGGCGGCAGCTCGGCCCTGGGCGGGGCTCTCGGGTGAGGGGACGCGGGCCCGCGGTGACGGCGGGCGGGGCGGGGCGGGACCGAGCAGGGCAGGGCAGGGCAGGGCCGGGCCACCGAGCCGCCGGACCCCGCCGCGACCGGCCCAGCGACCTGGGCTCGGTCCTCGCCGCGCCCGGCCGCCCACTAGAGGGCCGAGGTGTTGCTCCTGCGGACGACCGGCGCCTCGCGGGCTGGGCCGGTCCCTTCCGTCGAGGCGCGACACGCAGCGGGGCCTAAAGTGAAAGCGAGCAGCGGGGCCGGGCCGGGCCTGGCGCCCAGGTTGCGACCGGAGGGAGTACGCGCGCGCAGCCTGCAGTCGGCGGCCCCGGGCCGTGTGTCTCCAGGTCACCGCGCGGAGAGGGGACCCAGGGAGACCCGCGGTGACCCCAAGGTCTGCTGCACGCGGGCGGCGGGAGAGCGGGGCGTGGGAAAGCGCGGAGCAGGCCCTGGTGACCTCGCGGAGGGCTCGGGACTGCCGCGACACTGCCGGGACTGCCCTGGCGGGGCCTGCTGCACCAGGCCCGGGCTGGGCTGAGCTTGGGTGAGCGGGGCGCAAGCCGTGGAGCCCGGAAGGCGGTAGACAAAGGTTCTTCCCAGAAGTTAGGCGAGGAGACAGAGAGAATAGTAGGCTTGGAGCCCAACGGGTAGGAAGAGAAAGAAAGGATACTTCGTTTTGTTTTTCATTTGTTCCAATTTGTGGGAGAGACCCAAGGAATACTGTAGTGTAAAGTCCCAGGAAAGGAGATGGAAGGAGAGGGGTGAGAGGAGAGGAGCTCTTCCTGCCAGAGTTAAAGGGTGTGTAGGGATGAGAAGGAAGATTTTGAAGTGAGGAAGCAGGCATGTTCCACCGACCAGCTGCCTGGATCATAAGCCAGGTAGGTTCACTGTCCTTTAAAACTGAGGTGTAATTAATTGCTGCAAACCCTTATCGAACGTAACGTGGAAACCTCAATGTGCACGCCTGTACCTCCAGAGATTTGTGGGTGAATTTACAGTTCTGTCTCTAATCCCAATACTTTGTTTCCAAAAAAAATTTATTTATGCTCTTTCAGGAAACCTGTCACCACACCCTGGATATGACCCCATTTATGCTCCCTCAGTATAGTACACAGTATGTGAAACCAACAAACAAAAAAAAGTCCAGTGTTATGTGATTGCTAAATAAATTATTTGTATTAAAAACAGTGTTGAAAAAGATTTAATGACATGGGAAATACTTGCAATTAAAAAGCTCATTATAAGGGTCAGCTGGGTGGCATAAGCCTGTAATCCCAGCACTTGGGAGATTGAGGCAGGGTTTCCAAGCCAGCCTGAAGTACAAATCGAGACACTGTCTTCAAAAAGAGACCTTAGAGCCGGGTGTGGTGGCTCATACCTGTAATCCCAGCACTTGGAAAGCTGAGGCAGGAGGAGCATTCCAAGTTCAAGACTAGCCTAGACTACAAAGTGAGCTCAAGGCCAGCCCAAACTGCGCAGAGAGACCCTGTCTCAAAGAGACAAAAAAAAGAGAGACCTTAGCTGGAGCTGGCCTGGAGAGAAAAAAAACATATGTTTATATAGTAGCAACTTATATATAAATTGTATCATCCATAGATTAAAAAGTGGAACTTTCATTTGCTTCTGTGACTTCAGTTGTTTAATTTGTTTTTAGGGGGAAGGGAGGCATTATCAGGGATTGAATCAAAGACTTTTACACTGAGCTATGTCCCCACCCTTTGGAAATTGTAGAAATCACTAAATTGCCCAGGCTGGCCTCAAACATGTGATTCTCCTGCCTTAGCTTCCTAGAGTGCTGTGATCCAAGCAAGCGCAACCACACCTGACTTTTCTTGTTTTTTAAAGCAAGGTTTACTAGACAGCCTAGCCTAGGCTGGCCTCAGATTCATGATCCATCTATCCCAGCCTCCCAAATGTTAGGACTATGGAATTGATGTATTTTCCTACTTTAATAGTACATTTCTTTATCTCTTGGAATAAGCGAGATTATTTTTAACTAGATGTCATGACAATATAAATAGATGGTGAAATCTGGCTGTTTAGCCCCATTGACTTTATCCCCATCCTCCTGCCTCCTGAGTCCTGGAATTACAGACATGCAATTTCCTATGTAAAGTACTTTTCTTTTTGGAGCCAGAGTCTCACTGTGTAGCTCTGGCTGACCTGGAGCTCACAATATCCTCCTGTCTCACCCTCTCAAGGGCTGGGATTACAGGAGTGTGCCACCAAACCTTCAGTTTTAAAGTTCTTTTAAGAAAGGTATTTTTGCAACACTTTGAAGGCAGCAATCAGTAAGCCCAGCATTCTGGGAAGTTGAGGCAAAAGAATTGCAAATTGGAGTCCAGCCCAGGCAATTTAGTGATTTAGTGAGACACTGTTGCAAAACAAAAAAGGGCTGGGAATGTAGCTCAATACAAAGGCCTTGGTACCTTTAGCTCTGTATAGATCCCTAGTACCTTTAAAGAAAAAGAAAAAAAAATTTTTTTCTGAAGTTCCTGAGGAAAAGATAGTAGGATTCAGGAAAGGAAACTGAAAGTAGATCCTGGGATGGAACTTTGGCAAATGTTCTGTCCCAGGTAAAAGAATTCAGAGACCCCCAAGTGGGAAATGGATGAGGGAGAATCAGACAATCTGGTAAGGTTAGTTAGAGCTGCACCAAAGGCCCTGAAAACCCTGTGGAGCCCTTTGAATTTTGCAAGTCAGGGAGAACCACTGGAACTTGCCTGTGCAGATGATCACTTTCAAAGTAGATTTTTCTGTGTTCTCTTAATGAGGTTAGAGATCTCAGCCCATTAGACCTAATATGTGGACGCTTGATTGATTCAAAACAGTGAAACAGAAAGCAGTTATTGCATTCCATTGTTCACAAAGTAAGAATTTGGGCTTGCTTTCATGGTTATTAATTGCAATTTTGGTTTCATTTGGGTTTTTTTTTTTTTTGCACTTTTTGGTTCGTTTTGTAGTAGGAGTTGAACCCAGGATCCTTCCAGAGAGCTATATCCCTATTCCTTTTTTTATTTTGAGACAAAGTCTCACTAAATTGCCCAGAATAAGTTAGAGCTTTTGATCTTCCTGCCTTAGTCTCCAAGTCTTAGGGCTACAGGCATGTGCCACCACTCTTGGATTAATTTGTCTGGTGTTTTATCTTTTTGAGACAGTTTCACTATTCAGTTCAGGCTGGTCTTGAACCCACAGCAATTGTCATGAATTATAGGTGTGAACCACCACAACCTGGCTTTGTTGGGGTTTTTTTGAGACTGCACTAGTTTTGAACATAGCCCAGGTTGGCCTGAAATGCATGATCTTCCTGCCTGACTCCAGAGAATACTGGGGTTACATGTGTGAGTCACCACAACAGGCTTTAATTACTACAATTTTTATTTACTAGACAACAGCAGAGTTTTGGAAAGAGCAAATTACCAAAGAGCAAAAACAAAATGAAGAAAAAAATATGTACCGTAAATCAGTAATTTAGAAACTTACTGATTGTGATTCAAAAATAGAAATAAATGTCTAGGCCTGGCATGGTGGTACACACGTGTATCCCAGCACTCTGGGAAACTGAGGCCTAAGGATCACAAGTTTGAGCAATTTAGCAAAACACTATCTCAAAAAATAAAAATAAAAAACAAGCCAGCGGTGGAGCTTAGTGTGAAGACGCTGAGTTCAATCCCCAGTACTAAAGAAAAAGAAATGTCAAGCCCCATGTGGTGGTGCACACCTGTAATCAGGCACCTGGGAGGTTGAGGCAAGAAGATCTTTATGAGTTCAAGACCAGCCTAGGCTACAAAGTGAGCTTAAGATCAGCCCGAACTGCATAGCAAAACCCTGTCTCAAAAAGACGAAAAGAAAAGAAAAAGAAATGTCTCCATCTCATCCCAAAAATATTTGTCTGTGTATACACACGAGTACACACTTCTAAGACAAAAAAAAAATTTCATGAAGTATTATTATTTTATGCAAGAATGTTAATATTCTTAACTTTGTTTTCTCTTTAATGTGGATCAGGACTTACCACATTGACTCTGTTACCCACTGCAGTAATGGGTCAAAACATACCTCTAAGGATATTGAAAAAAGCCTATTCCCTGGTATCTTTGCATCTCTCATTTTGAATAGTCTTAGTTGGCAACCTTAAACTGGACTTGTTTATAAATCCCAGACAGGACAGACAAAACTCCCAAGGTGCTGTGGGGGAGGTGACGGGAGGGTTGTCAGGAGCCAGATTGGGTTCCTGTTCATGCTGCCGTAAAATTTCCTAATATCAGTATTTCTTAGGAGCCATAAATATTTCCTTCTTTTTCAAGCATGAGATAGATACTGAACTTCAACAAGGCATACTGCCTGTAAACTAAACACATCTTTTCATTTGAAAAAACAAAATCATGAGCTAAAATAACAAGAAAAATAATGTATCTTGATTGTGACAGTTATCTTATTGTGACAGTACATAGAAACTATCTTAATCAGTGTTTTGTTTTTGGCTGGGGATTTAGCTCAGTGGCATAAGCACCTGCCTGGCAAGTGCAAGGTCATGAATTCAATCCCCAGCACCAAAAAAAAAAAAAAAAAAAATTGTTTTGTTTTTGCTTTTTTGAGACAAGGTCTCACTATGTAGTTGAGTCTGCCTTGCATTCACTATGTAACCCATGCTAACTTCAAACTCACACCTGCCTCAGTCTCTTTAGTGCTGGGATTACAAATGTGCATCACCCCTGCTGGCTCAAAGTTATATTATTATAGAACCAGTAAATCTGATTCTTACAGGTTGGAACCAATGGAAAGATGAAAATATCAACTTTATTACCAATAAAAATGCAGACTAGATGGTGAACAATAAGCTTTTTTCTTTTTGAACTAGGG